TTTCTAGTTCTTATACCCAATCATACACCCGAGATCTAGTCATATTTGACTCCAAAAACACTAACCAAGCTTCTTATACCCTCTCAAAGCTTTGTGGGTGTGGCCGAAGTCCTATGAGTTTTTGGTTTTGGAGCTTCTAACCGGAAAAACACTACTTTAGCTTACGGGATCCGGTTGAGGTTCTAGTTCTTATATCCAATCATACACACGAGATCTAGTCATATTTGCCTCCAAAAACACTAAACAAGCTTCTTATTGCCTATCAAAGCTTTGTGGGTGTGGCCGAAGTCCTATGAGTTTTCGGTTTTAGAGCTTTTAAACCGAAAACACTACTTGAGCTTACGGGATCCGGTTGAGGTTCCTAGTTCTAATACCCAATCATACACACGAGATCTAGTCATATTTGACTCCAAAAACACTAACCAAGCTTCTTATACCCTCTCAAAGCTTTGTGGGTGTGGCCGAAGTCCTATGAGTTTTCGGTTTTGGAGCTTCTAAACGGAAAAACACTACTTTAGCTTACGGGATCCGGTTGAGGTTCTAGTTCTTATACCCAATCATACACACGAGATCTAGTCATATTTGACTCCAAAAACACTAACCAAGCTTCTTATACCCTCTCAAAGCTTTGTGGGTGTGGCCGAAGTCCTATGAGTTTTCGGTTTTGGAGCTTTTAAACCGAAAAACACTACTTTAGCTTACGGGATCCGGTTGCGGTTCTAGTTCTTATACCCAATCATACACACGAGATCTAGTCATATTTGACTCCAAAAACACTAACCAAGCTTCTTATACCCTCTCAAAGCTTTGTGGGTGTGGCCGAAGTCCTATGAGTTTTCGGTTTTGGAGCTTCTAAACGGAAAAACACTACTTTAGCTTACGGGATCCGGTTGAGGTTCTAGTTCTTATACCCAATCATACACACGAGATCTAGTCATATTTGACTCCAAAAACACTAACCAAGCTTCTTATACCCTCTCAAAGCTTTGTGGGTGTGGCCGAAGTCCTATGAGTTTTCGGTTTTGGAGCTTCTAAACGGAAAAACACTACTTTAGCTTACGGGATCCGGTTGAGGTTCTAGTTCTTATACCCAATCATACACACGAGATCTAGTCATATTTGACTCCAAAAACACTAACCAAGCTTCTTATACCCTCTCAAAGCTTTGTGGGTGTGGCCGAAGTCCTATGAGTTTTCGGTTTTGGAGCTTCTAAACGGAAAAACACTACTTTAGCTTACGGGATCCGGTTGAGGTTCTAGTTCTTATATCCAATCATACACACGAGATCTAGTCATATTTGACTCCAAAAACACTAAACAAGCTTCTTATTGCCTCTCAAAGCTTTGTGGGTGTGGCCGAAGTCCTATGAGTTTTCGGTTTTAGAGCTTTTAAACGAAAAACACTACTTTAGCTTACGGGATCCGGTTGAGGTTCTAGTTCTTATACCCAATCATACACACGAGATCTAGTCATATTTGACTCCAAAAACACTAACCAAGCTTCTTATACCCTCTCAAAGCTTTGTGGGTGTGGCCGAAGTCCTATGAGTTTTCGGTTTTGGAGCTTCTAAACGGAAAAACACTACTTTAGCTTACGGGATCCGGTTGAGGTTCTAGTTCTTATACCCAATCATACACACGAGATCTAGTCATATTTGACTCCAAAAACACTAACCAAGCTTCTTATACCCTCTCAAAGCTTTGTGGGTGTGGCCGAAGTCCTATGAGTTTTCGGTTTTGGAGCTTCTAAACGGAAAAACACTACTTTAGCTTACGGGATCCGGTTGCGGTTCTAGTTCTTATACCCAATCATACACACGAGATCTAGTCATATTTGACTCCAAAAACACTAACCAAGCTTCTTATACCCTCTCAAAGCTTTGTGGGTGTGGCCGAAGTCCTATGAGTTTTCGGTTTTGGAGCTTCTAAACGGAAAAACACTACTTTAGCTTACGGGATCCGGTTGCGGTTCTAGTTCTTATACCCAATCATACACACGAGATCTAGTCATATTTGACTCCAAAAACACTAACCAAGCTTCTTATACCCTCTCAAAGCTTTGTGGGTGTGGCCGAAGTCCTATGAGTTTTCGGTTTTGGAGCTTCTAAACGGAAAAACACTACTTTAGCTTACGGGATCCGGTTGAGGTTCTAGTTCTTATACCCAATCATACACACGAGATCTAGTCATATTTGACTCCAAAAACACTAACCAAGCTTCTTATACCCTCTCAAAGCTTTGTGGGTGTGGCCGAAGTCCTATGAGTTTTCGGTTTTGGAGCTTCTAAACGGAAAAACACTACTTTAGCTTACGGGATCCGGTTGAGGTTCTAGTTCTTATACCCAATCATACACACGAGATCTAGTCATATTTGACTCCAAAAACACTAACCAAGCTTCTTATACCCTCTCAAAGCTTTGTGGGTGTGGCCGAAGTCCTATGAGTTTTCGGTTTTGGAGCTTCTAAACGGAAAAACACTACTTTAGCTTACGGGATCCGGTTGAGGTTCTAGTTCTTATATCCAATCATACACACGAGATCTAGTCATATTTGACTCCAAAAACACTAAACAAGCTTCTTATTGCCTATCAAAGCTTTGTGGGTGTGGCCGAAGTCCTATGAGTTTTCGGTTTTAGAGCTTTTAAACCGAAAAACACTACTTGAGCTTACGGGATCCGGTTGAGGTTCTAGTTCTAATACCCAATCATACACACGAGATCTAGTCATATTTGACTCCAAAAACACTAACCAAGCTTCTTATACCCTCTCAAAGCTTTGTGGGTGTGGCCGAAGTCCTATGAGTTTTCGGTTTTGGAGCTTCTAAACGGAAAAACACTACTTTAGCTTACGGGATCCGGTTGCGGTTCTAGTTCTTATACCCAATCATACACACGAGATCTAGTCATATTTGACTCCAAAAACACTAACCAAGCTTCTTATACCCTCTCAAAGCTTTGTGGGTGTGGCCGAAGTCCTATGAGTTTTCGGTTTTGGAGCTTCTAAACGGAAAAACACTACTTGAGCTTACGGGATCCGGTTGAGGTTCTAGTTCTTATACCCAATCATACACACGAGATCTAGTCATATTTGACTCCAAAAACACTAATCAAGCTTCTTATACCCTCTCAAAGCTTTGTGGGTGTGGCCGAAGTCCTATGAGTTTTCGGTTTTGGAGCTTCTAAACGGAAAAAACACTACTTTAGCTTACGGGATCCGGTTGAGGTTCTAGTTCTTATATCCAATCATACACACGAGATCTAGTCATATTTGACTCCAAAAACACTAACAAGCTTCTTATACCTCTCAAAGCTTTGTGGGTGTGGCCGAAGTCCTATGAGTTTTCGGTTTTGGAGCTTTTAAACCGAAAACACTACTTTAGCTTACGGGATCCGGTTGCGGTTCTAGTTCTTATACCCAATCATACACACGAGATCTAGTCATATTTGACTCCAAAAACACTAACCAAGCTTCTTATACCCTCTCAAAGCTTTGTGGGTGTGGCCGAAGTCCTATGAGTTTTCGGTTTTGGAGCTTCTAAACGGAAAAACACTACTTTAGCTTACGGGATCCGGTTGCGGTTCTAGTTCTTATACCCAATCATACACACGAGATCTAGTCATATTTGACTCCAAAAACACTAACCAAGCTTCTTATACCCTCTCAAAGCTTTGTGGGTGTGGCCGAAGTCCTATGAGTTTTCGGTTTTGGAGCTTCTAAACGGAAAAAAACTACTTGACCTTACGGGATCCGGTTGAGGTTCCAGTTCTAATACCCAATCATACACACGAGATCTAGTCATATTTGACTCCAAAAACACTAATCAAGCTTCTTATACCCTCTCAAAGCTTTGTGGGTGTGGCCGAAGTCCTATGAGTTTTCGGTTTTGGAGCTTCTAACACTACAAGAAAAGTCGGCTATAGCCACAAAATATTTTGTGAATATGTCCCAAATTCCGTGGCTACTTAAGCTATAGCATCGGAAAGCTACAAAACTTTTTTGTGTCTATAGCGTTGTAGCTATATTTTCCCGTGTCTATTCGCGGACACGTAGCCACGAAAATGTGACAACTAATTTTGTAGCCATAAGCCACAAAATTGCCACGAAAGTTTATGTATCTATATTAGACACAACTTGCCACAAAGAAAACTGTGGAAGATTGTCACAATAAGCCACAAATGACGTCGTAACTCTTTGCCACAAAATTGTAACAACTAAATTTGTGTCTAATATAGCCACAACAAAGCTACAACTATTTCGTATCAATTTTGTCATAAATAGCTACATTATTATTTGTGTATAATAGGACACGGATAGACACAAATTATTCGAGGAAATTGGCTACAAACTAGAAACAACAAGGTTTGCAGCTATGGACCACGCATAGACACAAAAACATGTTGTGACGAGATGTTACAAACTAGCTACGATAAAACAATGCCAAGAGGAAAACAAATTTAAATATAAAAAATGAATTTGCATAATTAAATTAATTGGCTAGACAAATATAAAAACATCTCCATAAATACCATTAAAAGTTAAAACCATAAAGGCTTAAATACATTACACGTTAACCGTTAATATTATAGAAGCCAAAAAATGACCAAAACATATAACGACCCAAAATATACCCGACCATGGAATATTAAAAAAAAACATTAGACCATGGGATATTCAAAAGATATTGTTTCTAGTGACTTGTCTTACTAATGACGATCTTCAAATTCAAATCCCTCCACCGATTGCGGAGTCATGTCAGCTAAGTTGATCGGAGATCTCGGATTGGTTGGTTCAGCAGGACCAGCAACAGAGTTAGACCGGGGAGAAGGACTTCCAGCAGATGAAGCTCCTTCGGCACGCGAAGGAGCATGTCCTGTTGGTTCGAGAGTCACCGGGTCAATTCCGTTAAGCCTTAAGAGCACATCCATGGCTCGCTTCATCACTTCCACGTTGTCCTCCATCTTGGTGATACGTGTATCAATGTCCAAGTTTCGAAGTAGAGAAGCGGAAGCAGCCTCATTTGGATCAACATTCAGATATTGAATTGATCCAAGACCATAGATTCGCCCTTTGCTGTTAGTTGCCATCTGTGAAAACATGAAACAAAAGTGAAAAAAATATTATGCAACAAAAGAGAAGCACAATAATTAAAACTGAACAAAAGACAGATTGCACAAAAGATTTTTAACAATTAAATAAACACAATCACACTTCTGATTTTTAAACACACAAGCTTTCTCAGATTTTTAACAATTAAATAAACACAATCACACTTCTGATTTTTAAACACACAAGCTTTCTCAGATTTTTAAAGCATATGATCAAACAGTAGTTAAAATCTCTCCACATTGAATTCAAGAACCAGTATAACATTAGTTCTTCTACTAAATCATAACTGAATACAAGCAGATCTAAATGATCTAATTAGAACAAGCTTTATCTCAAACAAGTTAACAAAAAGATCTCAACCTAGTCAACAATCTAATAAAGAAAAAGATTACAGTGTCCAGCAAAACAAGCAAGGAAATAAATGAGAATAAGTCAGAAATTGTTACTTCTATATAAGCAGCAGTAAGCTCATTGTGGGATGGTCCTGTGACGGTTGACTCTGTCTCATTTGCACTACATCGCTGAGTAGCCAAATTCTGAGCACGGAGAAGTAAAGCCTCAGCCTTTTTGTCAATGAATGTGCCATCTTTCCGGGTGTGAGTCCTTCGCACCACCTCAGTTGCTGGTGGTGCTACTCCGCCAGCCTCAATTGACTAAGAAAAACAAACATTAAGTTGAAAACAAATGTTGAGTTACAAGTAATAAAATAAAAAACTGGGTGGAATATAAAAGTAGACAAACCATTTCATAAGCAACCCGGGTATGTTTTTTTGCTCCTGAAACATGGCGGTGAGTGCCTAATCCCTCAGGATCAGATTTCCGGTTCTTTGAGTTCGTTTGGCTCCTCTCCTTAGCTCGCTCTGTCTCCCAAATATCTAGCATACGGTTCCAGTCGGACAAACCAATGTAATCAGGTTTTTTCCCATTTCTCTTACGCTTGCTTACAAGATTTCTGATAGAATCTTTCAACGTATCTTCCCAACAGTGAAGAACCTGATCATGATGCTCACTACTCCAATAGTATTTTTGCTATAAAAAAAAAACAGAAGTAGATATTACCAACAATGTAACTTGCATTAATATAATCAAGTCAAATACCAAACATGTAAAGCATACCACAAAACTAGTCCACCATGAATCCTTCTTACTCAATGGGACCATACCAAAATTCCACCATGGTCCCCAAAAGTCAGATTGATATGTTGCAACTATGTCTTTAGTGATGCAAACATGGATGTCAAACCTGTGATAAAGGAAAGAAACTCTTGTATTAATTATAAACAGAAACATGATTCAACTATAAAATAACTATCTAAAGACAAATACTTACCACAAAGCTCCATTAAGTCTCTGTGGATGGAGATGAGGCATGTTTCGTCTCTCAGGAGCACTCATCACCGCAGCTAAGCTGGGCAAAGGATGTCGAGCAGCAGTAGAATTAGTAGACCTTGTTGCTCCAGGAGGCATAGGCACTCCTTGTGAGGCTCGAAAGTGCATGTTAGTTCCTCGTGATGAAGAAGGGCCACGAAGATTCATCTGCAAATATGTTAAAGCGTTCGTTAAACTGAGAAGGTGAAACTCAAACAAAACCTAGATGAAACTCAAACAAAACCTAGATGAAACTCAAACAAAACCTAGAGATTTAGCCTTTACCAATTTAGAGAATTAGATAAAACTCATACAAAACTCAAAGATTTGCCATTTATCAATTTAGAGAATCAGATTAAACTCAGATTTAGTGCTTACGAATTTAGAAAACGAGTTACATTTCAACAATTACTAACCGTTGTGGAAACGCCGGTGAGATGGAGAACTCGTAGAGTGAGCTGATGAACCGGCGACGACGGTGAAAAACCGTGGTGGTGACTGAAAGAAAAAGGGGAGTAGAGATAAGGGTTAGAAAAAGAAAGGGTTAAGAAGGAACAAAGAGATTATTTAACCATCGTGGCTAACCTTTGGGACGGCGGGAGAAGGTGCTTAGATCTGTGGACGGTGGGAGAAGGTGCTTAGATAATTGGGAGAGGAAGAGGTAAATATATAGAGTTAGGGTTTTCTGTATTATTTTAATTAGCCTTAAAAATATATTTGTGGCTACACTTTTCGTTTTACGCCAAATTCACCCGGGAATAAAAAATTTGGTGCCAATCTAATTTTTTAACCGGGAAGTCAGAATTTTTTTGGTGCCAATCTAAATTTTGTTATCTCAAAGCTACGTGTTGGATCCACTACTAACACAATGATGACTTTAGTTTTAGTATTATAAGTAGAATTCTATTTGGTGACAAAGAAAAAATAAAATTCTAATTAGTTAAACATACACTTTTTATTATGGTGTCGTATGTGCTAATTTAAATTAAGAGACTTTGCTTATATATTTAACTCCATATATATGTAATTGAATGCTAATAATCCTCATAGTTTAAAATAGATCGAATATTAAACTATAATTATTTATACTACAAGATGTCATCGACAATACAATAAAATATATTAATCTGAATCTGAATATTCTGAAGAATCATATTCATCACATTGGTCTTCTATATCATCTTCAGAAACATACTCGTCATTTGGATTATCCATTGGTATAGGCTCGTCATCTGAAGCATCTTCAAGTGCATGTGCTTCAACCCGTATAATCCCACTAGGTGCTACGAAATGATTATGTATGTCGTCTTGCAATGCAATTTGATCAACAATTTCCGTAGTTTCACGAAACCCTCTCGGAACAACTTTTGTCGATGCCCACCATTCTTCATCACTTCTTCGCAATCTCGGGTAAGGAATATAACAGACTTGATCACATTGCTCAGGTAATATGAAAGGATCATACTTCTCGTAACGCATACGTGGACAAACATCGATAATACCTGATGGATGCCTTCGCATTCCTCGACCAATTCTGGTGTCAAACCATCGACATTTGAAAATTATGGCTTTTAACCCAACTGCGCCATGATACTCAATCATGAATATTTCTTCAATTAGTCCGAAATACTCCGTGTCTGTAGTTCCACGTACACATACACCATAGTTCATTGTCTTCCTGTTTTGTCCATGGCTATGTGTATGGTAGTGATATCCCCTCGAATAATACATAGGCCAAGAAGTAAATTGATGCTTTGGTCCTTGTACAAATTCAAGCATCCACAACGGAAATTCATATGACCCGCTAGCGTCATTTATCTGCGCATATATAATTTAGAAAATAAGATATAAATATAAATAATTAAGTAAAACAATATATGTATTTATATATAATGTCGTTTATAATTAAATGATAATACTTACATAATCTCTACACCAATCCGCAAATTGTTCTTCTTTTGCTTTCGCCAATGCTTGTGAAGTAATATTTGGTATGTTAAGCGTCATATATTCTTCAAACATCCTGCAAACATATTTACGTATATTAACAAATACTAAATTTAAGTAGAAGACTTAATTATATAATTATAAATAATATAGCATACCTCTCATATGGTGCAAATTCTTCACAATTAATTAGTAAAAATGTTTGGAGAACATTGTAATCCACGTCTGATAGCCATCCCTTTGACGATTTGCCACTGATTCGTCCTTCTTGCTGAAACATGATTGGAACATCATCATAATTGTAGGTGAATCGTACTTGGCTTGTGTCGTCTTCTGAGGGATCTACACTTTTTTGAGGTGATAGATAATTGGCCGTCACATTGGCAATCTCCTCGTTCACACATTGAGCAACTATCGACCCTCCAATACGCGCCTTGTTTTTCACCTTTTTTTTCAAATGAAACATGTATCGCTCGAATGGATACATCCACCTATATTGGACCGGACCGCCTAACGCTGCTTCATCAGGGAGGTGTACAGGTAGATGTTCCATCACATCAAAAAATGACGGGGGAAATATTTTTTCTAGATTGCAAAGCTTCACCGCAATATTTTCTTTTAGTATTGCTACATCTTCGATCTTCAATGTTTTTGCTGATAAATCTCGAAAAATTTTTACCTGAAATTGCCGTGTGAACATTTTTTGGAAGTAGTTCTGTAAACGCAATTGGGAGAAGTCGTTGCATGATGACATGACAATCGTGACTTTTTAGACCCAATATCTTCCAATTATTGACATCAACACAACTTGAAAACTTCGAAGCATATCCATCTGGAAATTTTATCTCCTTCTTCATCCACGCCAAGAACTTTCTTTTTCCTTCTTTTGACAATCTAAAAATTGGAGCAGGTGCTTTTCCATCTCGAGTAAGCTCTAAATCGGGTCGGTTGCAAAACATAGAGAGATCTAACCTTGATTTGATGTTATCTTTCGTCCTTCCCGTAATATTCATCAACGTGTTGAGGAGATTGTCGAAGAAATTTTTCTCGATATGCATAAAATCAAGGTTGTGTCTAAGAAGTAGATCACCCCAATATGGTAACTCCCAAAAGATACTCTTTTTCACCCAATTATGGTAAACTCCATACCCTTCAATATTTCGAGATGGATTGTCATGTCCATTTCCTCCACAGTCAACAGTTCTTGATAACCCGTTGATGTTGTTAATCCTTTCGTGCAAAATTTCTTCACCGTTCAACCATTGCGGAGGATCATCATGAATCTTTTTTCCCTTTAGAAAAGCCTTCACATTCCGCCGGTAAGGATGCTCTTTTGATAAAAACATTCTGTGGCAGTCAAACCAACTGTGCTTTCTTCCATTAGGCAACCAAAATGATTTCGTCTCGTCTAGACAATACGGACATGCCAACCTGCCATGCGTCATCCATCCAGAAAGCATACCATATGCCGGGAAATCACTAATTGTCCACATCAATGCAACTCGCATCTTGAAATTTTGCTTCTTAGAGACATCGTAAGCATCTACACCGTCACTCCACAAATTCTGTAATTCTTCAATTAGCGGTTGTAGATAGATATCTAGGCTTTTCTTTGGATGCTTCGGCCCTGGAACTAATACAGATAAAAAGAAATATTCTCTTTTCATGCACATTCTAGGGGGTAAATTATATGGTGTCACAATTACGGGCCAAACTGAATGGGCATTCCCGTGAATACCAATTGGATTAAATCCATCTGTGGATAAGCCTAGATAAATATTACGACTCTCTGAAGCAAATGCGGGATATACCTTCTGGAAGTGTTTCCATGCTTCTCCATCTGAGGGGTGGTGCATTTCTCCTTCTGGGGTCAAATGTTCAGCGTGCCATCTCATTTGTGATGCGGTTGTCTCTGACTGATACAATCGTTTCAATCGATCCGCAATTGGCAGGTAAAACATCCTCTGCTTTGGTATCTTTTTCCCTGACCGGCCAACGTTTGGTTCGTATCGATCTTTGTCGCAAAATCGACAACGCAACAACTCTCGATCTTCACCCTTCCAAAATAGCATACAATTATCCTCACAAACATCAATTTTGTGACAAGGCAACCCAAGCGACCGCGTCAACTTCTTCGTCTCGTAATACGATTTTGGAGCTTTGTTAGGCGATGGAAGAACCGTTTTAAACGTCTGAGAAATATCATCCAGGCATTCTTCTGACACATTGAAATTGGTCTTCCAATGCATCACCTTCGATGATAAATACAACTGAGAAATCCCATCAACACATCCTTCGTAGAGAGGTTGATTTGCCGCTTCTAGTGCCTGGAAAGTGCCATCATGGTTGAGCTCCTCGTAAAATGGTTCATGTATATTTTCGGGAATGTGAACATCGTCGGGTACCATGTGAATATCTGCATCAGGAACATGATATTGATCGACTGGGACTTGAATATTAGAATGATCACGCCACGCTTCGGGTTCGCCTGCATAATGACTTGTTGATGCTTCGTTGTCGAAGTAACAATTTTCTCCATGATTCGTCCAAACAAAATAATTTGCCGTAAATCCCTTCATATATAGATGATGTGCCACCGTTTTTGCATCATGACGGTTTAGATTTTTGCACCTCGTACACGGACACAACATATCTCCACGCTCTATATAAGACTCTTGATTACGAGCAAAATCTACAAAAATGTTTATTCCATCATCATAAACACAATTATGCTCGTAATCAAAGCGTTTATACATCCACTCTCTCGACTCATAAAAATTTGACATTGTTTTTGTTGAATAATTTTTTTTTTTTTGGTTTCAAATGTTATTTCTTTCTCTCCCTAAACAATGAACGAATGAGTGGGTATATATAATTCTACTCCACGGATAGACACAAACGAATTTGTGGCTACAACGAATATATTCTCTCTCCGACCAGACTGATGCGATTAGACATATTTTTTTAACCCAAAAAAAAAAGCCACTATTAGCCACGACTATGTCTGTGGATATATGTAACTTTTTGTAGCTAGCCTCAAATAACCACGAATTATTTGTCGCTATATTTATATACTAGTTGTTTAGTTAGACAAAATATCTTATTGTACATAATTTGACATGACTACTCTGAAAAGGAACATAGCCACAACTGGCTACGATGAGTTCCGTCGCTAAGTCACAATTATCCACAATTTATTGTTGTGGTTATTTTCGCAACGAAATATGCGTGGCTATTTCGTACCTAATTTGCCACCGTATATGTTGTAGCTTATTGTGGCTAAATATCAACGTATAGCTACGAATGGTTTTTTGTAGCTAACTAGCCACAGTTTGGTCACAACTTAGCTACGTATTTTTCTTGTTTTTAATTGTGTCTGGTTTGTGGCTAAATGAACATAGCCACATATTTGTCGTAGCTAGGTGGTGGCTATAGACATATTTTCTTGTAGTGTAAACGGAAAAACATTACTTTAGCTTACGGGATCCGGTTGAGGTTCTAGTTCTTATACCCAATCATACACCCGAGATCTAGTCATATTTGACTCCAAAAACACTAACCAAGCTTCTTATACCCTCTCAAAGCTTTGTGGGTGTGGTCGAAGTCCTATGAGTTTTTGGTTTTGGAGCTTCTAACCGGAAACACACTACTTTAGCTTACGGGATCCGGTTGAGGTTCTAGTTCTTATATCCAATCATACACACGAGATCTAGTCATATTTGCCTCCAAAAACACTAAACAAGCTTCTTATTGCCTATCAAAGCTTTGTGGGTGTGGCCGAAGTCCTATGAGTTTTCGGTTTTAGAGCTTTTAAACCGAAAAACACTACTTGAGCTTACAGGGATCCGGTTGAGGTTCCAGTTCTAATACCCAATCATACACACGAGATCTAGTCATATTTGACTCCAAAAACACTAACCAAGCTTCTTATACCCTCTCAAAGCTTTGTGGGTGTGGCCGAAGTCCTATGAGTTTTCGGTTTTGGAGCTTCTAAACGGAAAAACACTACTTTAGCTTACGAGATCCGGTTGCGGTTCTAGTTCTTATACCCAATCATACACACGAGATCTAGTCATATTTGACTCCAAAAACACTAACCAAGCTTCTTATACCCTCTCAAAGCTTTGTGGGTGTGGCCGAAGTCCTATGAGTTTTCGGTCTTGGAGCTTCTAAACGGAAAAACACTACTTGAGCTTACGGGATCCAGTTGAGGTTCCAGTTCTAATACCCAATCATACACACGAGATCTAGTTATATTTGACTCCAAAAACACTAATCAAGCTTCTTATACCCTCTCAAAGCTTTATGGGTGTGGCCGAAGTCCTATGAGTTTTCGGTTTTGGAGCTTCTAAACGGAAAAACAGTACTTTAGCTTACGGGATCCGGTTGAGTTTCTAGTTCTTATATCCAATCATACACACGAGATCTAGTCATATTTGCCTCCAAAAACACTAAACAAGCTTCTTATTGCCTATCAAAGCTTTGTGGGTGTGGCCGAAGTCCTATGAGTTTTCGGTTTTTGAGCTTTTAAACCGAAAACATTACTTTAGC